TAAATCTGGTTTTTTTATTGGTTTTTATGTTATTGTATTTTAAAATGTGTCCACAATATTCTGGGAGGCCACTGTAGCTCAACCAAAAGAAATTACTTCAATCAGAAGATGACAGAGGTAATTTCTGTCAATATAATTTCATATGAATATGGACTGATGAGTTCTGATAATAAAAGAAAAACATTTGAGATCGATGATTATGAGGTACTTCAAATATATTTATTTTTTCACTATACTCGGTGGTTGGTTCTCTCCTTTCATTTAAATCAAAAAAATTCCGGTTAAAACGAATGGAGAGAATGTCGTGTGGTTATTTTATAACATAAACATGAAATTGGTGATTTTTTATTATCGTTATCCCTAATGTTGTGGTTTCATTAACGTTAACTTATTGAAACTATATTCTATTTTTTAAGGAAATTAATTGAATGAAATGATCTAAAAAATGAGGTTTATTAATCCACTATATTATATAAATGTTTCAAAGACTTGATATATAATTTTTTGAAAATATGGAATCAATTAACGTTAAGTAAAAAGAACGAAATATCATTATGATATAAAAAAAAGTCAAATTCTTATATAGTCGCACAGTTTACAATAACATCTTTACATTCATCCAATTTTGGATTAAGTATATAATAAAATACTTTTTTTAGTCAGAAAATAAGTTGAAAATTAAATTTAAAACGTGAGTTGTAAATACATTCGATAAAACATAAATTAAATAAAGATACTTAAGTAATTTCAAGTTATTGAAAATGATTAGCAAGTCTAACTTTGATTTATCAAATTATGTTTTAATAAAGACTTGTTAGTTATATGAAGTACAGTAGAGTGTATTGATATTCAACACTAATTCCGGCAAAAAATTAAAGTTTTTCGTTAAGTATACCAATATGTTTCTTAGATTGTTTAATACATTATAAAAATTTTTATGAACTTTCTATTTAGCAAATCATTATAATGCTTTTGATTTTGGTGTAATGATTCATCACTTTATCAATATGAGAATTTATCAACGTGAGAACCAAAGACTTTTAAAATTTAATATAAATTCACCTACCATTGTGAAGAATTCATTATTAGGCAATTGCACTCCGAATACATTTTATTCGCCAAAATATGAACATACACAAAAATCAAAAAGCCAACCTTTTAAACACATTTGCACAAGATTTTACCGAACTTCTGAAAGATAGATCTTTATACGACTTGAAAATTATCCTCCCCAATGGAAAAACTATCTTGGGACATAAGTGAGTACGAAAATCACTACTGCGCATCTATTTCTATTATGATTTGATTCATTAATTTTTTTACGATAATAGATTTTGCTTAATGGCTCGTTCCGCGAAGTTCCGTAAATTTTTTCAAGAATCAAATGTCATAAATACAGAAACAACACAAAAGATGGAAGAAATTCTATTAGAAAAAATTGTGGGCACTACTTTTCTATCAAGTCAAGCTGTATCAAGGGCATTTGAAGTGTTGTTCTTTTATTTCTATCATGATACACTCAATATAGGCAACTGGGACGTAATTATGGCGAGCAGAGAAAATATCGTAGCGTTCATTCAACTTGTCAGAATATTTGAAATGAGGCATCTTGTAAAACCCACGTTAGAAAAAATTGAAGCACATTTATCCGCGGATAATGCTGTTAATCTCTTAAACGAAATCATGAAATTGATTGATTGCAATCCTTTGATTGATGATGAAGAAAACGGTTTAAAGAATTTTTACGATGAAACTGCCCATAAGTGCATCAAATATCTTGATAATAAAAATGCACTTCTCGAGAAAAATTTTAGCGCATTCAACATGAAAAATCTATCACTTATTTCTTTAAATTACCTTTTGAAAAAGATTTATTCTAAGGTAAGGTGACAAACATTAGAAAAATAATCGAATCACATTTTAATATTAAAATCAATAAATAAATTAATTTTAGAATAACATCGCTCGCAACAATCAAGAGACGAAAAAGTTTCTTCTCATCGTTAATTGGTTCAACTCTAATAAGTCCGAGACTGCTGCCAAAACTCGGGGAAATTTGTTCCAAAATATCGAATTCTCGTTGATTCCGGCTGTAACACTCGCGACAAAGGTTGCATCTTTTGAAATTTTTAAATAACGTGCACCTATTATCAAAATTTCTAATTATAAAAAATCCATTTAGATTTATGATATCAAAGCTATTTCGCCTGAAAAATATCAAGATGCACTCACTGACATAGTGATCCAATTAGCGAACAAATACGAGAAACTAAAACCTTCCGCCAATCCTTCAGAATTTGTATATGAAGTATGCGCGTCAAATGAAATGGCGAACAATTGTGAGAAACAAGAATCTTCCGCCCAACAAAATGTAGAATGTTTTTCAGTAAATGAAAAAAGTTACACGACAGAACAAGTTAGCTATCACCATGAAGATGTATGCACGATAAAAGAAGCTGAACCACCACACAAAAACCAAGAAAATAGATCATATAGGAGGTATTAGAAGTTTACCCTCAGGCGTTTTATTGATTTTTTTGTCATTTAAAGATTAAAATAATAATTTAAATCATAAGTTAAATAAATTTCAAAGATCATTATATGGTACGAAACCTAAATATTTGATCTATATGACTTAAAAAAAATCATTATAAACTGTATATGACCCAGTCATTTACCATTAATGTAATATAGTTGAGACATAGTTGAAACCAGTGGGACGGGATAATTTCAAAAATGTTCTAGATATAGAAATGTGCAACACTGTCCCTCGAGTAAAATATCTTCATCTCCATCAATGAAATCGTTAATTCATTAAACATTTGAATAATGTGGAAATAGCCGACAGGACTGAATAAAATATATCACACAGATATTGCAGATAAGTATTTTAATATATCCGTATAATTTATGCAAAAATTTTGAAATAATAATGATATAAATTTCATCCCTACGAAAAAAGTAGAGAATCGCAAGTTCATTAGTACATTGATTATAAACTCATCCTTTCTAATTTTTTTGTAAACTAACTCTGTATATTGTAAATTTTATATTGTTAGAAATAAAAATTTTTATTTATTAATACCTTGGAGATGTATAAAACCAAAACTTTCAATAGGTAGAACATGTATAACTATCGATTATAATTTATATAATGATACGTTATTTATTACATGTACATTTTACATCTCTATTATTTCATTTGTCTTATTATTTATTTCGCTTCTATCTTATCTATTGAAAGGAGGAAAAATATTGAACCGAGACATGTTACGTTTTAAAACACAATATCCGGATTCAGCCAATTTCGTTTGACAGTTACATGATTTTCAGTATCAGAAAAAAGACGCTCACTAGATACAGTTGAGGAAATATCGTTAAGTACTTTCTGGCAAGTTTTGCCAATATAAGAAATTTCGATTTATTCACACTAAAGGATTATTTTTTTCAATTGGAGCTTGTTGTGATAATTTCAAGATAACAATCAAATTCATTCAGTTTAGTTCCTCTTCTTTATCAATGATCAAAATTAATAAGATTCATTTTTAGATTTATTGTCAGATCATTGTCGGCTTCGTTTATCAAATTTATCGTTGGATTCGTTATCAAGTTCACTGAGAGATAAATAGGCTCTTATGAGATTGTCTTATTGTTCCGAAGGTACTAATAACCTCAACCTCATATTAAATAAAATTACTTATTAACAAATTAACTTACAATACTACATTATTAATAAAAAGTAACTTTTAAAAACAAAGGATCCATATAATCAAGCGTAGGAAGGCACGTTCCAATGCTCTATATTGTATCATTTACTTGTTGAATTATATCTTTTTAAATATTTAGATGTCGTTTAAGTTCTTCGATTGCTGGAGATAAGTACCCAATGTAGAATCATTTGAGCTGCCCAACATATTAGTTACTTTAACAAACTCTTTTACAAATTTTAAATTCTTCATCGGAAAGTAAAATTTTTTTAGCTTTTCATCATCTCTTCAAATATCAGATCTCACATGATTAAAATTTATACTAAAAAAGCTTAATAGAGGATTGAAGTAATCACTGAATGTTTCGATATCCTTGATCACATCTAATGATTTTTTAATATTAATATTTAGTTGACTTAAATTGTCGCCATGTTTATCTTGACTTAAAATATTAATCAATTTTTTTTGCTTTTGCTATAATAGATTTTGCATATCAAAGACTCAGAGTATGAGCTTCCGGAAAATTCACTATGTCAAGAACGACGTCATATAATTCAAATTCACGTGTAATCAAATGACAAGTACGCATAGTGATGTACTATGCGCGCATTTGGTGATTACTGAATGTATGATAAAGATATCAATGTCAAATCAACAAGCGTCAATTTATAAGTTATAGACGGCGAATGCGAGCAACTTACAAGAAAAACTACAATTTCATGATTGCAGTGAAAACATTCATTGGCGAGAAAACAATATATGTTTTGAACCTTTTAGAATTTACCAATGTTAAATATCTTGCAAATGGCATCTATAAAGTTATATACTGTTACGAAGAAAATAAATTTGAGCATTGAATGACAATGACGATAAACGCAAAATTGTGTTGAGATTACGTGATTCAAAATGAGTTGTAAAAGAGGAAGAAATTCTACAATTTTTAAAATATAAAAATGATACTTTTTGTTTTCTAATTAAAATTACGTGCGGGTTATTTCAAAACTAGATTCGAACCGTTCTAAGATACGGACGTAGCCTTGGAATATGTTATTAAAGACCAGTTACAAATGAACACTCAATAGTCGCTCTGTAAATATATTAAGCTACGAAAAATTGAAAAATTAAGATATATACGAGGATTATTAATGATTTTATGACCTTTTCATGACAAAAATGACTTGTCATATGGGACGTGGTCATTTATTTTAAAACAACAAACTGTCAATACTGGATTCACTTGCATTTCAGAAAAAAGTATTAACAAGTCAATATACTATAATGATAAAAGTATATCATAAAGATGAATAAAAAATTATTTATACAGAATATTTTGGTTTTTTTGAACTTAACAGACCATGTTCGTAGACGCTTTAATTACTGTAATGGTTAGATGCATAAAAATTGATCCGTTTCCAAATACATGTATTACGGGACAGTATCTCACACGCCTTCTTTGTTTATATTAACTAGAACCCATGATTACTTGAAAAATATCGGAATTAAATTTATAAAAAAGCTATTAAAAAAGATGAGTAGTCATTGTTGAGTTAATTCCATTCAACGGTTATATTTACGCGCAACAAATGTTAGATCTTTATTGATGAAAGTCGGTATTATCGTTATTAACTATATATTAAATCTAGCCTAGTTATCCTTAAGTTATACAGGTAATTAACATTTCTGCTACATATCGTTTGCCACTAAATCAAGTTTGCTAAAAAAAAAGTGAAAAAAATTGCTTGAACTTTTCTTCTGAAAATCAGAACCTGGAATTTATTCTAGAAAACTCGCTATCTAAATATTATTTTTTAATAATAATAAAAAATTGAGCCCGAAATCGACCCCATGACCTAGCTTTCATCTCGAAAACAATTATAAATATACTTTAAATAAAATCTATTATGAATATAATATGAATAAACATATATCAAAGAAACAACACAAATTTCGGTTGAAATAAAATATTAAATACCGTTATAAGTACAATTTATAACGATAAATAAAAATATATCAATAACGGAATTATTGGAAGACAAGTATATTTATAAACCAGAATTCTATTAATTTATGTACCTTCAAAACGAATATTTGCAAATGGTAAAGTAAATTATCAAAAAAATAAATTCTATTAATATAAAGAATATATAAGAGAAAAGTAATTATAATAAGAATAATATATGCTAAAAAGTAGATAACAAAAAAAAGGTTAACTACCAATTAGAATAAATCTCTTCAAAATCAAAAAATTCAACCATTTCAGCTGCTCAATCATGTCCATTTATATAAGCCTTTTGATACCAATCTAAAGCCATTTCAAGATTTTTTGAAATTCCTATTCCATAATGGTAAAATTTTCCGAGATTAAATTGGGCTTTATTATTACCAAATTCCGCTGCTTTTAAATACCAATCAAATCATCTCTGCTTGTTCCTTCTCCATATTCATAACATTGTCCAAGTCGAAATTGTAAACGATTACGATTATTATTATTATTATTATTATTATTATTATTATTATTATTATTATTATTATTATTATTATTATTATTATTATT